TGGTGTCAATTTCCTCCAAAGTGCGTCCCTGCCCCTCGATGACGAAGAAGTAGACAACGAAGCCAGCAACCAGGTTGCATCCAGCAAAGACATAGCCGTATCGGAAGTCAATGGCGCCAGTGATGAAGGGGGAGAAGAAGCCGATGAAGAAGTTCCAGATCCAGTTGCTGGCGGTGGAGAGGGACATGGCCTTGGCGCGGTATCTCGAGGGGAAGAGTTCGGCTTGGATGGTCCAGATCTTGAAGAAGTTAGTACACGATTGATGAGAGGATAGTGCGAACACTTGATGACTTACCATAGGTCCCCAGGTGGTAGCGAAGCCCAAAATGAAGAGAGAAGCGAAAACGATGAGCACGATGCCGGGGCCGACAGTATTTTGAGGGTTCTCGCGATCCAAGCTGAAGTGACCGACGGAGGCAAAGATCAGGAAGCAGATAAACATCCAGCCGGAGCCAACCATAAGCGACTTGCGTCTGCCATAGTGTTCAACAATGTAAAGACCGATAAAGGTGGTTCCAAAGTTGATAGCATTCAGGATGATCTGGGTGATGAAGGAGTTGATGTTGACAGACGAAAAGATGGTGGTTCCTGGAGGCAAATTAGACTCCATAATTCAGGGAAACGACATGGGATAAGAGGACTCACCGTAGTAAAAGAAGTAATTGGCACCGGTGAGTTGCTGGAGCATTTGCAGTCCGCAACCCAAGGCAATACGCTGGGCCATTTTCGGGGCCTTGAACATGCCAGAGAACTCCTGGACGGCATTGCCCTTGATCTGCGATTCAGCCCGAAGCTTGCTCTCAATCTCCTCGAGTTGGATGTGGATGCTGTAGTGGTTCTCGGGAGCGCCGTAAACTCGGCAAAGGGTGTTCTTGGCACGCTCAATGTTGCCCATGCGGTAGTCATAACGGGGAGTTTCGGGGAAGGCAAGAATGCCAACGCCGAGGATGATGGTCCAGAGCCAACCAAGACCAATGACGATGCGCCAAGAGCCTGAACTGTTTTCGAGATGCGTGACAGTGCCATAGTTGCTATATCTCTGTTAGTTGTCTCTCTCAGGAATGCTGCGTTGGCTGTGCACTTACAAGCACGCGGCGAGGAAAATGCCGAGAGTGATGAAAAGCTGGTAGGCACAAACGAGAGCACCGCGAATCCATGGCGGTGCGGTCTCGGCCTGGAACATGGGAACAATGAGACTGAGAGCACCGACACCGAAGCCAGCGACCAAGCGGCCAACCATGATTTGTTCCCATGCTCTTTCAGCGGCAATTTGGATGACGAAACCGATGGAAGTGATGAGGCACCAGAAGGAAATGGAGTACCGGCGACCAAACTTGTCGGCGATGGGGGCGGCGCACAAGGCACCGATGAGGGTACCGATGGAGAGGAGGCCGACGATCAGACCGGAGCGGACGTTGCTGAACTTGATGGAGCCGTCGGCCTTGTGCTCGCCGAACCGGTCGAGGAAGTCGGGCATCTCCAGGAATCCGGAGATCTGACCCGTGTCATAGCCAAAGACCATGCCACCCATGGAGATGAGGATACCCATGGCCCATGATCGCCCCGAAATACGCTTCAGCGGGGAGTAGTCGAGATGGGCGAGGTCCTGACGGGCATCGCTTGCCTTCTCAGAGGCAGGATTGTATTTGTCGAACTCAATCGTCGAGAACCCCATGTTGGGCGACGATTTGTGTGGTGTTGTTGGTAGTGATGTTTGGTGAAGTGATGGAGAGATGTGCCAATGATGGTTCGTCCGAGACAGAATGAAGCGTGTGTGAGGAGGACATGGCGGGCAGTATTATATGAATGTTTCGTCGATCGACAGACGAGACGAGGATTGAGAGCCGCTCGCAAGCGCAGGACGCTTATGCTGCTGAATGGGTGGGCAGAGTTGGGGGCGTCCAGTCTCAGTCGGCTAGGGGCGTGACGTCAAGAGAGGACCGAGGCCTTGGAGTCAGTCAATGTGCGAGGGAGACTACACTCCAGAGAGAGTGCCCGATGACTTGGGATGGACGGCGGTGCCACCGTATGCCACCGAGGTGTTGCCGTCCGGGGCCCGGGGTCTCCAGGTTGAAGGAATCGGCCCGTTCCCCATCTTTTCTGGTGTCAGGCAGAGAGAAGAGACTTCAGAGACGTGAAGGAAGCCGAGGGGACGAAGATGCAGATTTGGTGGATGTCATTGGGTGTGTGGGCGCGAACTATGGAGGCCTGGTCCAATACTTCTGTGTAGTGTCAGTGTACACCAGATTACCAATGCAGCTCTGGGGATGAGAATCATGGGATTCTTGGGAATTGTGGAAAAAGACCAGGCAGAAAACACTTACAGCGTTGGCCGGGGATAACATGGTCTGTCGATTGTTCCCTGGCACGGCGTGGAAGAAAATCGTGAGATTGAGCTACAGCTGGATGACGTTGGTGGACAAGGTGCGTTTTGTGGGAAACCCAAGGGGGGCGTGAGATGATGTAAAGTTGCCGGATCCGCTCAAGGCCGTTTTACAATGCAAAGTATCTTTTGCGCATTAACTTGGTGCGCGGTACCAAAGCCGTTTTTGTGCAAGTATAGGTACCGGTACACTAATAGAAGGTAAGTAAGGTGCAGGGTGTGCCGGAGGAACCGGGGCCGGGGTACACTACACGAGCAGGTGGTCAAGTTCTCTGGAGATTCTTTCACGGCATATTCGGATTGCGGACTTGCGATTTGAGAAGTGAGCAACTTTGTATTTGATAAACTGCGGATGAACATATGGTCAGCGACAGGCTTCTTTGAGATGGAGCTTGGTGAAATGTCGTGGTGAGGTGAGCAACTCACAACACGCAACACTTGTGACTCTTCTCTTCTGTTCGAATGTTCCTTCTCATCCAATTGAGGTACACAGTACACAAGTAGAAAGAGGGGCGATGAAATGAGGCCATCGTGATATGATACGGAATGTATCCGGCCAGCGAATCTTGTGTGGAAAGATACATTAGGTGAGTCCCTGGACAGACGACGGAATGGTGCCGCGGCAGAGGGACGGCAGGCGCTGCCGGAATTGCTGCCCACGTCACTGTCAACTGCGCACCAGTGAGAAGGCACGATGACAAGCGGGACGACACGAAATGCAGCCGCGTTGCCAATCATCGCCAAGCTGCTTCCCGACCGGGTGGATCGGATCTCGTGCCAAGGGGCCAGTTATCCCAGGCAGGTTCTCAAGGCAGGTCCCGATCGCTACCTTCTTGCCGAATGCACATGGTCCCTTTGGCCCTTCTTTCCCTGGCAACTCGAACCCGAAATGGTTTACTGTGTAATTACTGCTCGCCAAGTGAAGGCACAAATGGAAGCCATGGAAGGGCAGGAGAGCCGCTTCCTCGAGTCTCGGTAACAGTCTTGGATGATGAGAGACACAGCCAAACAAGCTCTGCCGAACGGGGGCCCAAGAAATCTTGATTGAACCACAGCACTTGCCTTAATCCCGAACCCCTGCCTCACATCCTCCTAAGTTCCTTCCTCATGAAAACCAGTACGTATCAATTCAATTCAGCCCCGCCAACACCAAACATCAGATGACGTCGTTATTCAAAACACACGGAAAGAGGAAAAAAGAATGGAAGGAATCCAGAGATGTTGGAAAAAGATATCGCCGTGACACCTTCACGGCCCATCTCCGGCTTTCCGTTCTTCAGAGCCGTCGTTGCTCTCTTTCGGCCCTTTTCTCCCCTCAACCTCCAGATGTCTCCAGAGTCTCCAGCAAAGCCCCAAATATTCTCCAGAAATCTCCATTCTTTTGCCCTTTCTGCTGCGTGCGCAGCGTGTCACGGTCTCTCTCTTCTTCCCCAGCTCCGGAAAACCCAGAGTCTCTTGCCCTATTCTACAGGTCTAACCGGTCTGTCGGTCGCCGTCCGAGGGAGAACCGACGCCAATTCTCCCCATCCTCCATCCCACCCACCCGAACCACGCAACCCACGCCATTTTCCCCTCGGGGCTCCCAGATCTGTGGTGTTCTTTTCTCTCTTCAATGGATCATTCGGGGCCCCTTCCGGGGAACGAGATGCGAATCAAAGGGGCCTCGCGCCATCCCCATTGTTTCGGCCTCCGCCACGACGCCGTCGCCCCCAACGGCCAACCACATCACCATCGAGCCCCGTCTTCCCCCGTACACCTGTCCGAGTCTCGACTTTTCTTTGATTTCTTCGGTCTCGTAAGAGGGGTCGTAAGACGAGGTCATGAGGCTCTCATGGGGTTCGGCGATTCCTAAGAAGACAAGTATCGTGCCTCGGCTTATTCGTCTCCACAGTTATTTTCGTCAGTCACGCACTCACCAGAACCACCACGAACCATACTTCCCAGTACTGTTAACTTCGCGACATATCGACGATACCCAATCTCCACTGTTATCACGCGTCACTTCTTTCCAGAGAACAAACAGCTTTCCAGCCTGTACGAGAAAAAACTGGATCTCGATTGGGAATCAAAAGTCGCCCATCAGGGGACGATCCCTCCGCCCTAATTGACTGATTGTCGGATCAGCCACGTGCCTAGCCCCAACATTCGCCATTCAGTTGCGCCAGTTCATCTCCATTACGATCCATCCGACTGTTACAGCCATACACACATTTTTTGATAATCGGCGCCGTCCACTTTTCTCGGTCGCACTGCGGTATCTCTCTGCATTGCTATGCGCACCTATTATACGGATCTATTATTGCACCTCACGATGGTCTGCACGGTTCCGGCTTCTCCGTAAACCCCCCAGGCGTTACTCTGTCACTGAACTGCCAGGGCGTCCTTGGTTATGGTCGCGGGAACGCTGGGCCAGCCGTGCTTCCTCCCGCAATAATCATTCTTCCCGTTTCAACTTCCGATCTCCCATGGCTCTCCCTGCGGTCCCGACCAGTCCCGACGATCCCCGATAAAATTTCAATGTCGCCGACATAGCACATTGGCACCTTCAGACGCGTCCAAATTGCAGACCCAAGCGTTACGTGATCAGAGCTGAACGGACCGAATGCTGTTATGCGACCTACCACGTGGACTCTAAGCCATTGACCCCCGTCGGCTTATCAGCCAAAGTGGTGATCCGAAAGCCGTGTCGCAGCCCTTCCTGTGGGTTGTGGACGTTGTAGTCCGAGATGGCAGTGTGCGCCGTCACTCTGTTATCCCAGAGAGCGACAGTTCCCTCTTCCCACTTGACGCGGACTTGGAAGTCCTGGCCGTTGTTGATATGCTGTTTCTTTTTGTCAATAGGGAACTGAAACCCGAATGCTGGTATCACAAACCTTGAACAGGAGCTTCAGCAGCGCATTTGATTCCTCATCTCGAAGGCCGACAATCCTCTTTGTGAAGCCTGGATTGATGAACAGCGCCTTTTGGCCAGTTGCCTGCGACACGGAAGACATTAGCGAGACGGACTTAATCGCGAGCTACAAGTTATGGCGACATTACATACGGGATGAATCCGAACAATGGGATGCTCCGACTTGACCGGCTCCCTCCGCACAAATTTGCCGTCTCGACGACCGTTGTCGGCTTGGGGAAAGCCGCTGTGTTCTGCTCTCAAACCCTCGAGAAGAGCTTGTATCGGCCTCGACAATCGCGCATACGCCGCCGTCTGAGAAACCCACGCCGTGTCGCCGCCCGTCTCAGGTACAGAGAGAAGTGTAAGGATCGTGACGCCCGGTGATTGGTGCTCATACGACACGTCTGAGTGGTACCCGATGGTCGAGAGTTTGTTGCTCTTGCTTCGGTTGCGATACTCATTGTCCGGACCCAGGTAGATGTTGTGCAGCTCGAGATGGTCCTTGACATGCGCGCCGACGGGCTGGAAACTTGTCAACAAACTCTTTGCCGAAATGGCAGAGTGAGATGGCCACGAACGTGGATGTGGAGAGGACCAAAGTATTCCCCGAATTCCTTTTGCTTCTCGATGCTGATGTCCTTGAAGTCTTGGTCTCGGAACACGACGACGCCGCGCTCCGCGATGAGAAGTGCAAGCTCGTCTCTCTGTCTGTCGTTCAGCTGAGATAGTTGCAAGCCTCGAATCTCGGTGCCAATGACTGGTGTCAGCTTCGTGGCCTTGATCTCTTTGTTGTCCCTCGGAAGGAGATTTAGCTTCTCCTTGTTCGCTGCGAGACCGCGGTCGTTGAACTCGAATGGCTGTAGCGGGGGGAAGGATGTCTTTTCGTCGTACACCGGCAAGTATTGGGCGTATTTGTACTAATGTCATTGTCAATTTTGTTACCTTGATACAAGTCAAGTGATGCATCAATGGCATACTTGATCGTGGATCTTATCATCGTATGCCAAGGCCAGCTTGACGGGTGCCGTCTCAGCGTGAGTTTCGGTTGTAGTGGTTGTAGACATCGTAAGTGATGGTTCTTTTTTCTTTCTTGCTTCTGGGTAATCAAATCGACAAGTTCTATCAAATGTTTAATCCGTCGCGTATCATGGCTGGTTCATTGAGCCTGCTTTAATATGGTATGAACCGAGTCTGGTATTCTAAGAGTCAATCGCGTCAATCGACGTGATATGGCGATTACTGAAGCCATTCATCCTTTGGCTCGCGCCATTGCGACTTGCATGCGGGGAAGGCAAGATAACAGCATCGCTGGGCAATATCATCATTTTGACTGGACGCGAGATCCGGAGGGGGTTCGGATGTGAAGCTTGCGTTCATCGGCATATTCCAACACCACAGCCATTGGGACCTACACTGCCCAACGAGGACGAATCAAATGGTCTCGCCCTAGCTGTACCGCTGCTATGTATTGCTGGCAGTGACACTGGCTTCGTCCTGTTGATCCATCGGCATTAGTCGACGTGGTTTACGTGATTTGTGAAGAGGATGGCATCAAGTCCGATAGTGTCCCGATGCCGAAGATGACGCGGGACCGCTTCGGCGAGAGTGGGGTGCCCGGCACCGGCTCCGGAAAACGTGTGACTATACCGGGAGAGAATCTTAGGCTTCGTATGTCGTCCCAGACAGGAAACAGTCCCTGGAAATGGAATTGGAATCGCCAGCGAATCCTGTCCAGACAAGGCACTCTGAGGAGTCGCAATTCTGGGTCGATCCTATTTTTGGGTTATTGAAGTGCTTAGTTCTTCGGCGCCAACACTGTGGCACATTCGGAGTATCGGAAGGCCACAACGTAGTTTCCAATTATTTTCTTTCTTGTGCTCTTGTCGCCGGTATATGGTAATGGTTTCCTAGCAATCACCTACAATGTTCGCAATATGATAGAACCATCACTTCTTCGGATGAGAATGGGCAAATCTACGCCGATAATCCCAATTCTTCATAAAATGGCTCCATACGGACCTCACAACCAAGAAACTCCAACAAGGTCGTCATCTCGGGCTGGCCGCCCCCCTTCTCCAGCACGCCGTACCTATACTTGCGCCCTGCTTCCCCGCTCATGGGGTCCGCCTCGAAAATGGTTGAGAAAATATCTTGCGCGTAGACTTTTGAGCTGTTCGTCGCAAACACAAGTTCGGTTAGTGAAGACTTTCTTTCATGGCCACCTAAGCCAACGGGAGGAAGTCTCCCAAGACCGGGAAAAGAGGGGGAAGAGAGAGTGTAGACTCACAAAAAGTACCCGTAGAACCCGGCATCGTACTCGTCCATCAGGTGTCCGATGTTAGTATACCCGTGTCCCCAGTTGGCATCGTCGCCTGGCAGGAGAGGCGGATCGTCCGTCGGGACGATCTCCCGTCGGAGGCTGTTCCAGAGCGTCGTAAAGTCCACGGCGGCTTCTCCCTCGACGGCACCGGCGGCAGCGTTGGCAGTTGGATCCTCCTGCGTGATGATCGACGCGGGCAGCTGATGCACAGCCATATCGAAAACGCTAATAAAAAGCTGCTGCAGCGTTCCCAGCCCCTGGCCGACGTGCTTCGCGGCAACGAGGCCCTCGACAACGGACTCTGGGATTCGTTCCGGTGGCTGGGTCGATCCCTCCCCTGCTTCTCCTTGCACTCCCCTGATGACCTGCTTCTCCTGCCAGTCCCGCAGACACTCCTCAGATAGATATGAGTAATGTCGGCCCAGCCCGCGTAGCTGCTCCGCGCTCCAGCACCAGTTCTCGAGCATTTGAGACGGCGCCTCGCCGAAGTCGACTACGGTGCCCATGGGCCCGTGGAAGCGCGCGAAGGAGGTGCGGGAGACGAGGTCGTGGATTGCGTGGCCTAGTTCGTGGAAGAGGGTTACGACGTCGGCGTGGCGGAGGAGGGTTGGGGAGGATGGAGAGGAGGGAGGGGGGAAGGAGCAGAGGAGGGCTGTGGAGGGGTATGTGCGGGTTTGGTCTGGGTTTGTGAAGCCCTGGGAGATCGTTAGCCTTGGGTAGATGTAGTAGAGAAAGAGAGAGGAATGTGGTGATGATCTCTGTGGGGTGGGGAAAGGAGAGGACTTACGGGTACGAGACTGAAGTTGGCAGGGTTCCCGTATTTCCCATCTCGATGATAGAGGTCAAGGTAAAGATACCCCAGAAACCCGCCCCCTTCATCAGCAGAGTCCCACGCGGAGAATAGCCGCACATCTTCATGCCAGACGATATCCTCCCCCTTCCCTGTGCTCGACAAGGCATCCCTCGCCTCTCTGCCAGCAATTTCGAAAAACTCCATCCCGAACAACCTCTTGAAAATACCCAGCATGCCCTCCACAGTTTGCTCTAACGGGAAGTACTCTGAAATACGCTCCTGATCAACTGCATACCCCTCCTTAAGCAACTGATTCGTGTAGTACGCCGTGTCCCACGTATACAATTTCCCATCATAAATCTCGCCCCTCTCCTCCTCGACATCCTGCCTCTTGAGCTTCAGGAGATGTTCCTTTTCCACTTGTCCGCCCTGGACTAACTTCTCTCGGAGAGAGGAGAGGAAGGACGTGACGTGAGCCGGGGACCCGGCCATTTTCTCTTCCGTGCTGAGGGTCGCGTGGTCCGGGTACCCAAGAAGGCGGGCAGCCTCGTGGCGGAGGAGGACGACGCGCCGGAAGATGGCGATGTTTTCGCGGCAGCGGTTGTCGTATGCCAACCGGGCGCGGCGGCGTGTGTTGGGCCGGTGGGCGGTGCGGAGGAGGTGGGATAGGTGGAGCGGGATCTTGATTCGGACTTTTCCTGCCGTCTCGGGGTTTCCGTCGTTCCCTTCTTCGAGACACGCGAGAGCGTCGGGCGGAAAGCCGTCTAGTTCTCGCGGGGTGAACCATACCGAGATATCTGCCTCTGCGAGGTTCTTTGCGAATTCTGCCGTGAGGGAGACGGTCTCGGCGCGAATTGCGCGGAAGCGGTCCCGGTCCGGCCCAGTGGGGATCCGGAGGCCGTTTTTGACGAATTCTCGATGTTTCTTGTTGAGATAGTTCCTGGCTTCCGGGTTTAGGTAGCGCGTTTCAGCGGCGTCGTTGTAGACAGCGTCGACGAGCTTGAAGAGCGCTTCGTTGTTGGCGGATTCGAGGTCTGCGTCGCGGAGGAGGGACCGAGCTTGGGAGGAGGCGGAGCGGGTTTCTTGGTCTGGGGAGACTGCGTTGTGGAAGAGGAGGAGGGAGGATGCGGAGTAGAGGGCGTTTTCGGCGTGAGCTAGCGGGAGGAGGGTGTTTGCGTAGGTTGCGTCGCGGGTTGAGATTGTTGATGGGATGGAGGATTGGGCTGCGCGGTGGGTTGAGATGAGGGTGGTGATTGTGGTTAGGACCTGGGAGGGGGAGGTTGTGAAGATGGGGGGTGGTTGTGGGGGGTTGCGAGGAGGGGAGGAGGCCATGGTGGTGATGAAGTGAGATGGGAGTAGGGTTGAATTGGGAGTGGAGGTCGAGGGAGTTGTCGAAGCTTGAGGTGTAGAAATTTGATGCCAAGAGCGGGATATCGTGATCTTTTGAGTCTGTGGCGTTTAGGCAGCGGTTTTGCTGGTTTGGCGGGGTATAACTCACTCGTTGGTTTCAACTTTTGCGATCTTGTTGGTGCAGGGATGATATGCGAGGGGTAGGCGGGTCGTTTGCCGGTTAGCTATCTTCAGCGATGGGACTGTTGGATTCAAGAGAGATCTGACAGAGAAAGCGTTCGTGGATGCCTTCGGCAGACCACCGGTGCCGTTGTGATGTTTACCAGAGATTGGACGAATTTGCAGTGGAATGCAAATTCCAAACACCACAAAGCGCTAGGCATCCAGTATTATCAAGGTAGTGACACAATCAGAATCTCGCAGGCAGCACTTTAAAGATAGCGCCCGAGTTAACGGACCCCTTTGTATGCAGGACTAAGGTGCCTCATGTTGGACTAATCTGCAAGCAGTCAGATCCGGGAAAGGCCCGGATGGAGCCCCCGCCCGTTTTCGGCTTGATTGGCCGATGGACTGTGCCGAGATCCGGCCGGGCCGGGGCGGGGAACGGGGCGGGGGGAAAAGCCGGGGCTCAAGGGGTCGGACGAGGGAGACCGTCTCGGCTGTTCGCTTTGAGGACAATGACTGTCTTCGAAGGATCAATTGACTAACCCCACTAGAAACGAGTTTTCTTCCGTGAGGCAATCTGGAATTGAGGGTCCACGCTGTTGTCTGGGTTGTCCAGCTTGTAGTTTGCAAATAACCTTGGCTATGATGGCATACTGAGATCCTACTTAGATGCAGTCCATGGCCTCCATTTGAAAGTGTCAAGGCACTGACAACGTGAATACCTATCATCTGGAAGTAAATGCCACCCTGCCCCTAGAAAGATTAGGCAGACGTTGGACGGTCAAGTGCAATCCCCAACCAAAGCGCGCCAGCTTTCATTTCCCCAACAATGTCAGCATCCTCCGCCAAGGATTATAGTGTCTTGGGCCATCCTACTCGCCTTTATTCATCACTTGAGGCTTCTCAATTGGATTCTTACTGACTAATTGCGTCGGTCGGGCTGATGTTCCGGCCACCGACTTTATTTGACGTCCTCACGCCACTCCTTCGAACCTAAAAACGCAATCGTTGATTCATCTCGTAGAACATAGCATCCACAGAAGATTGACTTTGTTTTTTCCTCCCTCATAACACAATTCCTTAGATTATAGCAGCGCCAACATGGCCAGCATATCTTCGGGCCTCGCAGTTGTCTATCCTGTGGATGAGGGAAGCGGCAAGCTCGGAAGCGCAACACCGTCGCGACGAGGCCCTCCCAACGAGAATCGCCATCAAATCCCCTCACCACCGCAATTCCAGGAGCCCCCCATCTCTACCAACCGCACTCCATCAGTCCAAGATGAGCATCTCAGCAATGCCCCCGATCCCGATCCGCCTCTCCCCTCCAACGCCGCCACCGCCATCCCAAAGCCCTCAGGAACAAGCATAACCCTCACAATGACATCCGTCTGCCTCTCAGCAACCCTCTCCGCCCTCGACATGACAATCGTCACCACCGCCGTCCCCAACATCGTCGCCTCCCTCGACTCCGTTGCCGGCTACATCTGGGTCGGCTCCGCATTCATCCTCGGCTTCACGGCCGTCACACCCGTCTGGGGCTCCGTCGCAGACCTCTGGGGCCGGAAACCTATTATACTGCTCGCCCTGACCATCTTCCTGGCGGGGAGCCTGCTGTGCGCGCTGGCGCCGCACATGGATGCGCTGATTGCGGGGCGCGCGGTGCAGGGTGTCGGTGCGTCGGGGATGGGGGTGATGGTGAATACCATCATCTGCGACTTGTTCTCGTTGAGGGATCGAGGGTTGTATCTTGCTATTACGTCTGTTATTTGGGCTGTAGGGAGTGCGGTTGGGCCAGTCCTTGGGGGTGTGTTTACTACGCGATTGGAGTAAGTACTCTCTTGGTAAGATATAATTATTGACTTTGACTGACCCATCTACTCTTCTTGTAAGCTGGCGATGGTGTTTCTGGATTAATCGTAAGTAGCCCCCACGTGAACTAGAACACCCAACGGAAAACTGACCATGTTCAAGTGCCAATTGGTGGCGTTGTCTTCATAGTCCTCGTCTTCTTCCTGGACCTCCCTTCACCCAACACACCAGTATTGGCAGGCCTCAAAGCCATAGACTGGACGGGAAGCGCCCTCTGTATGGGCGGAGCTCTCATGGTTCTCCTTGCCCTCGACTTCGGCGACGTCGTACACCCATGGTCCTCCGCCACCGTAATCTGCCTCATCGTCTTCGGCACCGTCGTCATTGGCATATTCCTCGTGAACGAGTGGAAATTTGCCGCTAACCCTGTTCTACCCCTTCGGCTTCTCTCAAGCTGGTCGAAAGCGGCAGCGTACAGCGTCTTCGCCTTCAACGCGTACGTCTTTATCGGTATCACGTACTACCTGCCGCTTTACTCCCAAGCCGTGCTGGGCGCGAATGCGTTGACGTCGGGGTTGTATATGCTACCGCTGATCGTCTCTTGCTCGTTGTCTGCAGCGTGTGCTGGGTTTTTCATCCAGCGGACGGGACGGTATCGAGTGCTCATGTACGCGGCGCAGGTGCTGCTGATTCTCGGCACAGGTCTACTCATCAACCTCGAGTTCGACAAGAACCTGGCGAAGCTGTTCACTTTCCAGATCCTCACCGGCGTCGGCGTGGGGCTGAACATTGAAGCGCCGGTGCTGGCGGCGCAGGCTGCGACTACGGTGCGTGATACGGCTGCTGTGGTGGCTACAATGGGTTTCCTCAGGTCTATTGCGACGGCCATTTCTGTGGTTGTTGGTGGGGTTGTCTTCCAGAACCAGATGAAAGCTGAGAACCTGTATTTGGTCGAGATGATCGGTGGCGAGCTCGCTGGTCAGTTTGATGGAGAGAATGCGTCAGCTCATGTTGAGGGCATCGCTCTGCTTGCGGCTGAGCAGCAGGTTCCTGTGCGCCAAGCGTATTTCAGAGCGCTCAAGACAGTCTGGATCATGGTAAGTAAGATCTCAACGTCGAAAAATTGCTATGTGAAATATCCTTGAGGAACCACCGTTCAGTTTGCGTACATTTGCTAATAAAAACACCCAGTACGTCGCATTTTCGGGCCTGGCGTTGGTGCTCAACCTCTTCGTATCAGAGCACCATCTGAGCGATGAGAGAAAGGCGGCTGTTCTCGGCGTCGATAGAGGAACCCCGGGCTTATTAGATCAACCAGCCCAAGTAGAGGAGATACCGCTCGAGACGACTGGCAGACAGCAAGACAATGTCCATCAACGCAGAAATCGGGCCACATGAGAAGGAAGTAGAATTCGCGCTCCTCGAGGGGAGTCATTAAAGCAATTAGATTTACAGGTGCCAGCCCTGAAAACGCCTCATAGCGTGTGGACTCTATGCCCTGCGCTGTCCTTGAACCCTGGACATGATTTTGATACAAAGAAAACTTGTCGAGCTGTGACCATAACCCCGTTCTAACCTCCCAATTCCCCGCTTTCCTCACACTGAAGGCCGTTATGATGTACAAACTGTTATATGAAATATATGGCGGTTGTAAGTTTCTTCACGCAGAAGCCATCGATCAACTTTTCAGGAAGCTCCGACTGTAGGAATGTCAGGCATCAAGACTTCCCCGCTAACGAAGACTCTATAAGCTGTCTCTCCGCCAAACCCCTCTCCCAGAACTCGGAACCCTCGGTCAAATTTCGCCGCAGGGTCTTAGCGCTGAGATGCTTCGTGAAGCGGTCCACGGCCAGAATTACCAAGAGGAGAGCCGCCACGGTAGGCAGCGTTGCGCCGCTCCCGAGGTAGGCGAAGAGGAACTTCTCGGACCCGGCGCCCGAGGCGATGCCGACGGCGAAGAGGGCGGCGACACCGCGCGTCGCGACGGCGGCTTTGTCAAAGATGTTGAGCGGGCGGTCTTTGTGTCTGGTGATGAGGATGAAGACGGCGAAGAAGGCGACGACGAAGAGGAACGAGGACCAGTAGTAGATGTAGACGGTCGAGTAGGCCGGGTGCGCAATCTCGCCGGGGTCCTCGTCGCCGTCTGATGTGACGCCGTTGTAGGACTCGAATAAGACGCCGAGGACGCTCTTGGTGAGGCGTTCGAAGCCGGGGGGCACGAAGAGCGAGTCGGTGCCGGTGATGTTGGCCGGCGCGCAAATGTCGGTCGTGTTACCGATTTTGTAGATTTCTTGGTAGACAAAGGGGATGAGGTTGCGGATTTCGGCGTTGTTTGGCATGTTGAGCTTCTCAAATGCCGTGGCGATGGAAGTTGTGAGGGCTTGACCGTCTTGGTGCTCGTTTACGCAGGCGTTGCGGACGGAGGAGAAGAAGTCGCTGAAGTAGCTGAGGACCTGCCAGGCGAGGGCGATTTGTTGGGAGCCTTCGACGACGCCGATCATGCCGAGGTGGAAGGGGAAGTGGAGGACGGCCCAGATTTGTTGGCGGACGGTGCCGAATTTGCATTCGGGGGGGTTGTCGAAGTAGAGCATCCAGTTGAACATCTAGGGATGGTTGAGTCAGTTGATCTATGGTTGGAGCATGGTATGGACGAGTGACATACCAGAATAAAAACGATGCAACCGACGACAAGGCATGCGTCGAGTCGGAGGCCGGTATCACCCATCAGGACGCCGACGACCTTTGTGGCACCAATGGCACCTTCACCAATGATGACCAGGGTGAAGAGGCCCATTCTCTCCGTCAAGTGGGTGTGCTTGAAGCTGAGGTTCCTCCAGATTGACGAGAGGCCGAGGGTGATGGCGACCTCGATCACGAGGATGATGTACCATACGTAGTAGATACCCAGGCCGTTGCCGGACTCGGGAGAGAAGGCCGGCGTCATGGAGTAGAAGGCCCCACCGGAGAAGATGAAGAGGACAATGGTGAGAGACAGCGGCCAGTTCAAGGCCTTTGTCTTCTTGCGGACAAAGTGGAGGGCGACGGAGTACTGGGCTACGAGCAGCAGGCGGGTAGCGAAGAGAATGTTACACAGGAGTTGGAAGTTCTACATTGCATCGCTGTCAGTGAAGGTACTGTATCAAGATTTCCGAGGCTTCCGTCTCCATTGTCATGATCGAGATACAGCAAAAGTTGAAAGTAGACATACCGCATTATTGTGCTCTTTCGTACCAGGACTGAATGATGACCCAACGAGAGCGAACCCGACAAATAGGCAGAACTGCAGGATCTTGCACATTCGCTCGTACCCCGAGTCGATGGAGAAGCGAACATCGTGCAACGTGATCTGGAACCAAGTGAACCAGATGATGGCGAAGAAACCGAGATAGGCGGCTAAACTGGACAAGTCGGTGATGCTGTGCGTCTGCGTAAATGTCTCGAGGTTGGCGACAAAGAAGAGGTCGGAGAAGAGTTCAATGGTGTTTGCATTGTGCCGGACAAAGAGGCGGATCTCGCCTGTGTCTTCATCAGCTGAGGAGACAGGTGACTCGATCCAGGTGAGAGGCGCGATTTTCTCTTCTTGGAGGTAGTCTAGGCCCCTGGACAGGAAGGATTTTCGTTAGTTTGCTGCATGATGCGGGATGGGGGTTATCGAGAATTGGGTTGTTGGTTTTGACCGCCCTGTCACTCTCGCTTCCCACTTTCTTTTCGGTAGAGTGCAATAGGTGAGAGAGCGCGTATTGAATACGATGTATGTTGACTTACCAACTTATTGATGAGCTGTCAGAGTCGACCCGACGGACCTGGCTGCTCGGGAGCTTCGCCATTGTGTGGGCGGCGAACAATGATGGCGTAGGACGCCTTGTGAAGGTGTGTTTGGATCGCCTTGGACGCCTTCTTTCTCTCTCTTGCGAGTCCGAGGGGTGGAATAGATGTTGGATTGATGTGTAAGAATGCGAAAGGGAGGGGAGGGGAACAAAGAGTGGTTAACATGGTCTGGAATCACCGGAGAAGAAGGGGCCCAAGGGGGTGGAGGGGGGTCGCCAACGGCCAACCGGCATTGGCAGCACGTCAATCAAGCCTTCAGCCCTGTGGACTTTGTGGTTCCGTTTGTCGTTCCCCGAAGATCCGATCCATATTTTTTGCAACTGTTTAATCATGAATGGTTCTGTCCGTGGTGGAGATCTTGCACCGATACGTGTATCACAGCCCCAGGTCATACACGTATTGGGGATGACCAAACCGCACTAGCGAGTCATCTTCAGTGACAATTGCCGTTTCTCGAATGGAAACGATTAGATATTGGCTGTGTTTGGTATTTTAAGGTTCTGTCCTTACTTAGCGGTATCCACAAGTGCTGCAAGCTTCGCTCTCGGTCTCGGTCTCGCCCCATTCAGGGGTCGTTGGAGCAAGCCTCGAGTGCCACAGAGGGAAAGGCTTGGTATAATATTAGGTGCTCCCTCTCAACTTCTCAGCGTCGAAGCGTATATACTTTAGCCCCCAGATTGTCGACAACGACTAGGGACGGATACGAAATCGACGGCCCAACGTAGGGACGACATCACGGCGAATAATTACCAAAATGGAGAATTGCGCATGACCCAAAGAAGTGGGCAGCCGTAAGGTGACATCAGCAACGGAGGTTGAGGCTCGTGTCACATTCTCCTACGCTGCTGGAACAGAAGGAGGAATACGACATGCAGCGTCTGGAAAAAAAAAATAATAAGGCTGGGTTTCTGCGAAGTATGAGGAAATATAGAGACGTGGACAAAATGTTCGCGCCTTGCGGTACTTCTTCAACCTGAGTTCTGGACAACACATCCAGCAAATGCAAATTTGGCAGTTGAAAAACTGACATATACACCAAGGCAGTGCAAGCAACTTGCAGCTGATCGCGAGTTGTAGTAAATACTCAGAAGAGTCGTTCATCGTGCAATAACTACCGTTATTTCCAACTTCAGAACGTAAACCAGTCCCAAAGCCTGCTCAAGAACTCTCGTATTACCCTCATTGTGGCACATTCATAGTCCTTGACCACAAAGATCTCTCGGCTCTTTCCAAGAATCAGTTCAGTGGCCGGACATGTCATCAACAGCTGGTTTTCCGCAACACAATACATAGGCGAATCTTTTTGTGGCGCGTTCCAGCTGAACGATTCGGAGAGTCTCTGGCGCAAGACCCGTGCTGGACATTTCCTCCCATATGGATCCCAGGCTCTGAACACATGTTGTATTCTTGATGCTGAGGCCTCCGGGAGTCTATCGAGCTTGGAGAGAAACTGGATCAAGTCTGCGTTTTGCTCCGAGGCTTTCTGGATGCCGTGCCTCAGCAAGAGGATAGCTGCCGACTTTGATATGTCTGACCACTCACGTGCGCCCTTCTTCGAAATGTAGTCCTTTTGCAATGATGCGTGATGAAACCCTCGAATGAGATCGACAGCTGCATGAGCAACGTAGTCGAAGGCTTCATCAGTCTCGTAATTCGCTAGACGAAGAAAGTCGGCGTCCTCGTCTAGGAAGAATAGGCTCGCCTGCCGGAGCAGTTCTACTTTCTCTCCAATAACACATCTCTCCTGCCATCTGAGGACTGTGCTTTCGGTGATGCCCCAGGGGTCTGTAAAAGTATGCGAGAGCCAAAACATGGCACCGGTGATGTTGCCTTTCCCCGCTTGCCACATAGACAACTACATCGCTAACTGGCCTGCCTGACATAAACCGAAGATTTCGCGTAAGGAGCACTCCGTTTGAAGCTGACGATACAGATCATAACCGTGGGGTACATGATAAGGGGGTGTTTTCCCATGGTGATTTAACTGTGCCATATTCAAAGCCATGGATACCACCTTCGATCGACTACTTTGCACACAGCCATGTATTTATGCATAGTCATGTGTGCATGGTAGAACATGTGGTTAAGCATGTCCTTGTCCTCGGTAGGGAAGAGTGATGAGGCCCGGCAAAATTGCCAGGCAGGGAAGTCAGGATCGACATAGTAATAATCGTGTACTAGATTTTCGAGGCATTTCCACAGAATAACGCTTTTCTTCGTTCGACCAAACTCAATTTCGTGCAGTTGCCGAGGCCTAAAATGAGGAAGTTTATTACCGAGAGCCGTGATGCATGAAAATGCGTGGTGAAATGCTCGAGTGTAGGGATAAAGGTTGAAAGCTCGGTGCCTAGCGGAATCATACCACGTAACGGAAAGATCAACGTGGCGAAGCGGATAAATACACGGCTCCATCTGTTTGTAAATCGAGTAAAAGTGAGCAACATGAAGTCGGTCGCTGCTGCCTATCTCTCGATTTTTACGCCATGCATAACCACGTAGCATGGCAAGTGTTGTCTATGTGATGTTTTTTTGCTCATCGCCGTACAGGCGAAGCCTTGCCCACAGGTGAATCAAGGAGTGCACAGAAACATCGTTGGCGTCAAGGGAATATCGAATGAATGAGAAAGAGAGGAGTATCGCGATTGCTTCTTGAACTTACAATTCTGCGACATGTGCACAAGGTTAGCGTATGTTGATCAGCCATTGCAAGATGAACTTTACCAGTAAAGAAACCTCCGAAAGTGAAGAGTGCTTGCGGTATTCTTCCCGGAGCTAGGTTTCCAGATATTAAAAGTATCATGGCAGCTTCTGGCGATTGCTTTTGTACTGCGGTGAACGAGATTTCCCATGTCGTAAGCACGGTATGGTCATTTACATCCCATTCCAATCGCCTTGCTTTCTGACTCAAAACGTCTTTAGGGTATCTTTGATACAGATCGAGATATGCTGTATACGGTGCTTGAGAGGGATGCATTGCAATATAGGCTCCTGCTTGCGATATTGCCAGCGGTAGGTATGCGAGTCGTTCAATAATCATGTGTGCACTTTGTAAATCTAACTTGGTGTCAGCTTCTTATATACATCCATTCCAATTGAGATCTTATCAGGGCCTTGAGAACGTGCTTCACATACTTTCTGTTGCCACCTCAGGCTTCAATCCACTGCTCTTGACCAGAAGGTCAAAGGCCTCATTATGATCCATCATTGGAACTTGGACTGATTTCCAAGTGATTGTGTCATAAAAAGCGGGCCCACTCAATGTGGGCAGCATTAACTACATCCATATCTCGTGATATACCCCCTAGACGCTTAGAGCTATTATTTGTATAATAGGCGTCTGTACTATGCCTTAGCCCCGAAAGTAGTAAACTAGTTAAAAATAGGTATCTATACTATACCTTAGCCCTAAAGGTAGTAAACTAGTTAGAAAAACTCTATTTATACGGAGACTCGAACGGTTACCTCTCGCTTTTTAAGTATATAACTTATAAATAATACGGTACTTAACTATTATAGTAATAGCGAATAGGAGCTGGGCTTATAACTATTATAAAAAGCGGGCCTACTTAATGTGGGTAGTATTAACTATATCTATATTTCGTAATATACCCCCTAGACGCCTAGAGCTATTATTTATATAATAGGCGTTTATACTATACCTTAGCCCCGAAGGTAATAAACTAGTTAAAAATGGGCGTTTATACTATGCCTTAGCCCTAAAAGTAGTAGATTAGTTAGAAAAACCCTGCTTATACAGAGACTCGAATAGTCGCCTCTTGCTTTTTAAGTATACGACCTGTAGATAATGCGGCACTTAACCATTGTGGTAATAGCGGATAGGAGCTGGGCTCATAACTGTTACAAAAAGCGGGCCCACTCAATGTGGGCAGCATTAACCACATCCATATCTCGTGACAGATTGCTAGGTCAGATCTCCGGGTAGTAATGAGGACAGACCCCAAAGCTTTTGAAGGCAGGATATCCTTCAAGCTAAAAATCTCTAGGTCATCAAGATTGTCAACTAGTAAAAGCCAAGACCAATTCCTGTCATAAGCTAGCCACGTGAAGAAGGCTTCGACAACCCGTCCAAACCTTTTCTCTTCACTTGAGAATTTGAAACGTGGATTGTCTGTCATCCCATTGATCCTGTAATGTACCAAAATGCGGTCGACGTAGTCCCCGATACTTGCCATGACGGTGTCTGGACGACGCCCATCGATCCAAAAGATTGATCCAAAGAAAGGCCCTTGGCGGCGGGCATATTCTAATGCAAGTTGTGTTTTACCTACGCCACCCGGACCGTAGATCACAAATACCTTGAGTTCCTGTTGCCGCGACCCCAAACTGAGGTAGCTGTCCATGAGCTGCAATATATGGTCTCTACCGGTAAAATGACGATTCCAGACCTTTTTAAAGCTAATGCCTAGTTTGAAATCCTCGGGCATCGGTTCAGTGTTGAGATCGATCTCTTTTTGAATAACAATCTCTGGAAAGCTTGTCAGACGAGCTGAAATGGATTTAATATGTCATAACATGCACGCACCTCTTGTCCTGCTCCAAAGCACCCAGTTTTCATGAATAGCTTTAGAGGCCTTCGTGGAGTAAAAGTCTATCATCCGGGCAACCTTCAAGAAGTTTTCATCGTCTAAACTCGTGAAATTTGCCATTGTCGCGTGATTTGCAACCAGGGGGATAGCTTCCGTGTTTACTGCTCCGAATATAACAGCTGAGAACTTAGGCACAACCTACTAAATCATACAAGGTCAGAACGGGGTTTTGTTCATCAAGATAGCATCATAATGTGGCATATTGACCCACTAGAATAGACCCTAATAAGGATATCGGCATTTCCAGGGTCTCGTAGTAAAAAACTGTCTTGAAATCCTGACTGATGGCATTGTAACGGTTTTGAAGATCAAGGAGCCAGTCCGAATTGGGCATCATGTGCTGAAGTAGCTTATGATTGGTGTGAGAAAAAAACGGACAAAACTTTCGTCAGTAGCTGAGCTAGCTCAACCCCTTGTCCACCTTGGTGTGGTGGTGTTCCAAGAAACAGTACAGCGTAAGTTGATAGTTTGATTGACTTCTGCTCCTCAAGATGACCAACGCGGCTCATTTCGGAATGAAGAAGCGCCTTAGCCTAGTAAGCATTCGCTCACTTTTCTTTTCTTCAAGACAAGGGTGGGGTTTCCTTACGCTCTTCACAATCAATCCTCCGAGGCTATGTGCAATGAAAATGATAGGCCGCCGTTCGGTCTGCATTGGCTTAACTCAGTTTTCAGGCTCAACAACTCAAAGCCATACGCAACATGACAAAATAATCCGAATGAGGAGACAATGGAACACCAACCGCGGTGAGCCCTCGCTCAACAGTCAAATCTCTGACCAGTGCAGCTCCATGGTCTGATATATCAAGTGTGAAGGGAACCTCGCCTCCTCTGGTCCTAGGGTCATGACTATAGGAGTAAACTCGTGCTCGTGGAACCCGTGTCGGAAGAAGATCCTGGAGCTAAGAAACACCGTCGCCTGAGGTCCAAGAATTTCTCCAGTGCCCATCCAGACCGTGGATCGCAATAATACTTGTTCATAAAGTTAGACAATTGGCAAAGTAAGGGGGTCTCTACCCATCAATAGGGTTGACCTACTCGTATTCAGCATCTTGTGGGTTGACAAGAAGATTTAGTCCTAGACCCCCAAAATCGGAAGCATCGACGACGGCTAGCGCAACGGTGTAGCAGATGTAAGATAATAATAATATTGCCTACAGGAGTGGCATAGATCAGATACTGTCAGGCCATTTTATAATCCTTGTAAACAGGACCAATGGTCTACTCACGTATTCTATCATTTTCCCGCAACCACACGGCCGTGGGTGAAAGCTGGACGAGAGTCAAGCAACAGCATTGCTCATTTGGGGCACGGGAGCCTTTGAGGTATGCCCGTGCATCATTATAAGAGTACAGAAGTAAAACAGTGGTTGGCAGGCTGATTGCCAACGTGTGTGATAGGTTGCGTATGCAAGATGGCCAACCAAGCTGTCCGCCCTAAGTTTGCCTTATTCACTGCCCTGAGCATGCACGCCACCAAACTGCCAAAATATTTAGGCAGAAACCACGTCGTCAACAGGGAGCGATTGCCTCGGAATTCGGACTGGTTCTATATCCCCGCCATCTTATGCATCACTCTAGAAGTCACCTTGATTCTGGCTAGATATCCTCCAGAAAAAGGTGCATCAGTCTCATAAGGGAATCTTGTTACCGCGAGATCTCATTTCACATAAATGAGACGGAGCCAAGCTGATCGATCATGGCAAAAGATACCACAGCTACCAGCATCGCGACGCTAGGAGAAGTCTCGTCATCACGGTGTTCTACTGAGCCTCATAGCTCATCACGACCAGTTTATCGTCCTCTGAAGATGGATTGGAAGCATATGGACAATCGGACAGCAGATTTGCCTGTTAAAGATTACCAATTGTTTATTACTATCACGTTGACAATCTCTATCTTTGGTGCATCCACCTTCGCGATTATCGCTGGCCAAATGGAATATCCAACCGAGCTCTGGAAGCCTGAGCAGCCACCGTTCAGTTTGTATGAAGTGAGGAGATTTTTGGCAGCGGCATGACTTTGTTTCATCCTTACTATAGCTATTGCAGGATATAGCTCTAGTCTTCTTACTATTCTACGCCAAAAGGCTCAAAAATCAGATGATCAGTCCTGGTACCGAAACTGGGATATAGTCGGCATCACGTCATCGATACTTGTTCATCTACTTCTGGTCCTGGCCTTCTTATTCCAATCGCTAGGACTTGTCGCCTACGTAGGAGCGATTGGATGGACCGCAGTCGGATGTTCGTGTCTGGCTGGTATTTTTGTTATTGGGCTTTCCATCTTCCAATGTCGGTGAGTTTTCTACGCGTCAGACAGATACTCCATAAAACTGATCCTTTCAGGGGTCACCAACGCCAGAAGAAGGCTAGAAATCGTTGAAAAGTCACTCGTGGTTCATTGAGTGCAACTAAGCAATCATGATCTCAGGTGATCCGTCGTTTGCAGAGACAGGGGGCAAAAGCACGAATCAAATTTCTACGACAGATATCTCAAAGGGGTAACAAACAATAGCTGTAGCAAAACATTGCCTATGACTTTGCTTAGGTAGGGTGAACTACCATGATGATTGTCTGCAATGCCGGCTCCACCACTACGAGCTATGACGACACAATCTTCAACGAAAATGGGATGGAACTTTTCGTAATACGTCTTAGTCGTTTCTCGGACTGGATCAGAGGGCTCGAGTGAGAACGAGGAGCATCGCGTGAATTCTCACTGGTAGGTAGAGCTGCTATCATGTTTGTCTCCTCGCATAAAGTGTGACTAGCTTCTGTTCCTGACCATCCAGCCAATGATCGAACACTCCCAAACTGTCAATCCCAGACGTTATGGCCTCAGTATACTCCGACCATCTAACTAAAGACTATCGTTTGCTCTGATGTGTTCACGCCTTCGTTGTCGCCAGCCGACACCCTTGGTACGACTCACTACCATAGATAGTAAGCCACTAATGCTGATAAATAATATGAATATGGTGAAATACCACCCTCTACCAATCGCTTCAACCAGAGGCTGCAATAGTGCGGAAGATAGGGCACTGAGACCGCACCGAGCAATCTGTGCCGACGCATACGTCGTGCTCGGCCTTTCTGCAAAAGTGTCGACAAGCAAAGCACTTGCAGTATGGCTTAGTAGCGTAGATGCAGCGCAGATGAAGAACTGAAGCACAATCGGCACCGCGGCATGGACATGCAATTTCACAGCCCACCCGTAGCCCACTACGCAGGCGGCCATGAAAAGGAGAAACCATTCACACCCCCGGTATCTGGCCACTTCCAGAGGAAAATGGGAGCTGGCATGTGCAGTTTTGGAGCTGATATCCAGGTTCAACTTCCGCGCGATGGTGGCAAAGTTTCTATCCAGAAGCTTGCCGGCTAGAATTCCACCGAGTGTCATGCCAGCAAGGCCAGGGAGCAGCACTAGGCCGATCTGTAGTTCGTTATACTCGTAGACCTCCGAGAAGACAACCGGAATGGCTACCTGGAAAGTGTAATAGACTGAGTAGGAGGAGGCGATCATCCAAAGCACCGCCGCGGCTTCCGGATAGAAAATAATACGAAAGGAGTCCAAGGCCTGCAGAGGTTGCCATTCCAGTACTGGCTTCTGGCTCAAATAGTCTTGGCTAGCTTGAGCTTGGGATTGGGGTGTATCCGATCCACGATCCTCTCCGTCTTTGGACGCCTTAGGTAAAGATACCCAAGTCCGCCATACGCCAGACGCTGGGAGGCTCCCATTTCCTACGACATTCCTCGCCGTCTCCGGCAATGTGAATCCTGTCAGCAGCAGGCACACGGCAGCTACCACCAGGAGGGCTACCCACACCCAAAGGACACCTCCAGTTCCCAGCGCTATTCCACCCCCAATCATGGGGCCTACAGCCGAAATGCCGTTGCAGAATGCTAGCATCGGTCCAAGCATACTGCCTCGCTCTGCAACAGGGACTATATCATATGTGAGGCCGTAAGCTAGGGGAGGCATGGTCGAGCCACCCAGACTCTGTAAAGCTCGTAATGCTACCAGTGCATTGTAGCCATTCCGTCCCGTGCTGAAAGTGAATGATAGAATAAGGCCAAGAGTTGCAACTGTATAAAGGGCGATCAGCCCGAGAAGCACCGGTCGACGGCCAACGGCGTCGGCAAGTGAAGCGAAAAAGGCAGGGGACGCGGCCTGAACTACAACGTAAACAGTGACTGTCAAGTTGATGGCCTGAATCGACACACCCAGCTCAGCGCTAAGCATAGGTATCAGAGGGAAGTAGATGGTTGCTGTGAGCGTGGACAGGGTCAGAATGAGGCCGAGAAGGTAGGTAAGGTATTTGCGCATCACTTGAGAAAACACGGAGTATTTCTGGTCGCGAGAGGCTTCCTGAGCTACGTGTATGGCCTCATTCTGGCCCAGCTTCTCCCGGTCGGCGATGGCAACTGCTAGAGGCGTAGGTATGGCGGTGAGGGGTCGAGAGTCCATGCCAGGAGATTGTTGATGAGAGGAACTTGAGGGAAGCATTGCGAGTTTCCGTGATAAATCAATTGTACTGTAGTAAACCGTCGAAATTCATCCAGATGCGCGACCTGTTGGAGCCGCAAACCGTGTCAATTGAGGGCAAGCAAGTTGCTCTTCCTTACGAGTTTTTGTGCTTGACAGGTTTGACATATCAGGTTGAAAGAGAGACAATAAGTTGAGCGTATGAGGTAACGCTTGACAGAAGTCCTCAAGCAAACCAAGTTGGATCGAGAATGTGATAGGCGAAGGCAGGCTGTGTGCCCAAATCAAGCCGCGCCGACTCCTCTTGGCCCCAATTGGTCGCACGACATGCACGAGTACTAAGAAAGTACTCAGTACCTGATACGCACCTACAAGGAATTTGATGGGTTTCCATGTACTATGCTCTACAGTCTGGTACTTTCATAAACTCATGCAATTGAAGTAGCGTGATTCTTCTGAGCCACCGTACCTCCAATAAAGGAGCAAGATGGTCTTAAGGAATCCAGAAGATGGCACATCAAATGAGCAGACTATTGGGGCATCTACCAAACGTTATTATTTTGAGATCAATCTCGAGATCTCAGGGTTGTGGAGGTCAATACCTAGCACGAAGTTCCGGCCGGCTCTTTACAACCTAAATCCAACGTCGCCAAGATTGGTACCCCGCTTTGAGGTCACGGTTCCTGTACCCGGGACTGCTGTTTACACCAAGACATGGCGTGAGCTACGTGGACAATATTTGCCTACATGGCGCCCACCTGCGCAAAGACGGAACGTTGTTCCGCCCATGTTGACGCGTCTTGACACCGCCTAATCACATATGGGTCCTGAGACCCCTATTCTCTGGTCGCAGGAAGGTCGTGGGCGTAAAGAGTTTCTCTCTGGTAGTAGACATCCAAAATAGTCATCGGACACCACTACCATGGACCAGGGACGGCACCAGGAGCAAGAAGAGTAACTCACGCGGTCATCAGCGTCCGGGACTATGAATCTTACGGTCTACAAGCCGTCTACAAACCCACAGCCATGCAGAATGTTTTCACTGTACGGTGGGTCGAAAGCTTGGAAAGCAGAGATCGGAAACAAAATCACTCGGGGTTGATGTGCTTGCGTCTTCAAAAGGTTAAGACAAATCCGTAATAACGGGAAAATCAAACTATTCACGATGGAATTAGACATTGAAAGACACGATTCACTGTTGCCATTCCGGAGTTTGTATCTTCGGTGAGTCCGGAACTAATGACTTACACGCCGTCTAGACGCCACTGCTGATATGGATGTTGATACCGGGCTCGTCGTCTCCGAGCTGCTCCTGACATGATCGAAACAAACGGCAGACCGGCTTGCAGTATAGACACCCGACACTGCTCATATCCTCAGTTTATCTCCTCGTGGGACACAATCTTGGCCCCTGTCTTTATTGGGTCGATGGCTTCGTCGTAGGCATCAATGCCGTCGATTGGAGCGTATTTTTCGCAGAGGTAGCACATGCTATTGTAAGCCCTACGGCATATTAGTGGGAGACTTATGATCTCAGAATGATGGATCCACCGAGACTCACGATTTTCTTAGTCTGCTGCCAGGATGGCCGGCAGAGTAGTTTATGCCCCCTTTGAGGCTATACAGCCGGATTCGATCGTCAAACTCCTCAACGGGCTCCGCCATCCCGAAGGACTCAACGTATTGGTCCATATATGCCTTGGCACCAAACGTTGCTGAAAATTCACAGACCCAGTGGCCTAGCTCCATCTCGTTGTGTGCAAAGTAAGATCCGGCGTCGAACATCATCGGTAGATTCGTCTCGTTGCTAATGCCTGTGTTTCCCTCCCACAGGTCGCCATGAATCAGGCTGGGTTTGATCGGATTCCCGTTCCATGTGAGGCCCTCAAGAAGCAGTGGGATAACCTTCCAAGCTACCTGATGTCCGGCAAGCTCATACTCGGGCCATGAGCCGTTCCGTTTGATGTCTAAGCTAAGCGTATGAAGGAACATCTTCCGGTAGAACACGGCCCAGTCTGATTCCCACTCGACGATGTGCGCGCGATCACCATCGCATGTAGTGACGTGGAAGCCAAATTTGTCTGCAAGGCGTTGACTCCCAAGATGAAGTTCGGCCAGGCGCTCGCAGAACATCGAGGGATCTTGTGGCATTGTGACGTCGAGGTCAACGAACTGAGACATGTAGAAGTAAGTGGGCGTGTCTGCTTTCTTATACTTCCCGTACCCAAAAGGCTGCGGTATGAAGTCTGGCATAAGCTCGTAGATAATCTTAGATGACTCGAATTCGCCCAAGAGCATGACTCTGCCGGTTTCTCCGTATGCTATCTTGACGAAAAAGACCGAGCCGACGTTTGAAGAGCGAGCAATTAGCTTGCCAGTAATGGTCCAAGAACTGTACCCAAAATACACCACTGAGACAAACGCGAACCCGTCTGGCAGAGCTGCAGGAAGTTAGACCTCAGAAACAGAGTGCAAGGCTCAGGGTGAGGGTCATTGATCATTTAGCAGACGTACCGTCAGAAATTGCCTCATCCATCGGAAAAACACCATTCTGACGAACCCTCATCTCCTGGATCAACAGATGAGATGTCAGGTCATTGTTTGACTTGTCAACCAGGCCGGCAGAAACGTTGTTGTTGTTGTTGGCAAAGCTGATGTCATTGTGGTCATTATGTTTAATGACGCTGTTCTTGCTGTCTGTGTGAGGTCCGCCAGGAAGCGCCGCAGATGTCTCCATGCTGCCTCGTGTTAACTCTCGGAGTTGGAACAAAGGCAGACAATATGCACATCGAAAACTCAGTTCACAACCAGTCAACTGAGAAAATGCTACGACAACGGACTGATTTAAACCAACAACGAAATGGTCAAGGTGTGGACTCATTTATTGCAAGAAGCCTCCGTCACAGAAGTGACTCTGGGATCTGTTTCTGTTGAGCTTCTAGTCACAAAGTATCTTACGTGCCATGTGCCCAGCCTCCCCCCCTTCCAGATCATCCTCATGCAAGCATCAATATTGAAGCAAGCTGCCGGGATAGTGTTCCGATAATCATATTGATTGCCAGCAGCTATCTCTAAATGTGGATTGTGGCGGCCAAACACGCTCAGAATAGAAGGTCACACAATCACACCAACGCCGGGCACATAACCAACGCTCGAGCTCCGCGCCAAATTGTTTGGGCATTCAAGCGGAGTGTGTGGTTTCGTCGACACAGCACCCTGCCATTTCCCGGTCGGGACACAAAATCCGCGTCTTGCATAATAGGCAAGGCTCTAGGTAATATAGGTAGTAGGTACATGTAAAGTACTGTAAGCAAGTTTGTCTTCCGAGGCCGCCGATGAAAACACGGCGTGGAGCCTGATTTCTCCCATGAAGCCAGAAGATAACACATGGAGCGACCCTTGCGAGGCGGCTTAGGACGTAACGTGAGTTCGAACGGAACCGTTCCTCTTCTTCTTACCATTCTACTTTTGTGTTTTCTAGATTGCATAACCTTAGCAACAGCGCACCATAGCATTTGACGAGGGATCCAAGACAACATGATGTGTATATCTCGTTTTTGCTGTTGATATTTCGATATTCGCGGGACACTGTTACTCGAACGTGTAAAGAGGGTCACTCACTTCAAATCTCCGGGTCCTTGGGCTCCGCATGGGATGACTGTCTCACACGTCTGTCTTTTGAGCAAGGTGCATCAGCATCCGCAGTGCTTGCTGCGGGTAGTTTCATTGTTGTTCTATCGACCATTCATACGTCAAGTCATGTACTGATCTACGATGCTGTCACATTTGAAGAGCAACGAAGATTCTCTCATCCGGAACGAGTGCTCTCCATGCAAGCCAACTCCTTGGGGGATTTGCTCGTTACCTACGGGTATCTGACTACCAGAGTGTGGAACCTTATGACAGGAAACTGCCTCCAGGTTGCAAAAACCCCGATGGACCGCCCTCGACCCCACTCTCTTCGCTTCATCGAGGACGATCAGACTGTATTAGTTGCGAATGAAGACCGGTGCATTCGGAGACTCTCTGTTCACAGCCCCACAGATCCCCGATGGACCATACATTCCGAAATCACAGAACAAAGATTTGAGGGAACTGTCCACAGTTTTCCCAACTGTTCGGCGCTCAGTCCAGATGGGACCATGGTCGTCTTTGGTTATCGCGCACATCCTGTTGCTGCATGGGAACTCGATCCACCAAAAATGCTACGTCAATGTCACATCCCCGCGGATGAAGCAAACATATCAAGCAAGAGAAAGACTGTGGGAGAGGTGTATCATTTAAGATGGCATCCTTATAGTGGTGAAGTTCTCGGCTTGACTCAAATCGGTCTGATGTTCAAGTGGGATCCCTTCGAAGAGGAGACGAGGCTGATGGTAGGCACCGGTGCCAACAAGATGGTTGTGTCTCGGGATGGATCCCTCGTAGCAACTGGCGACCCCCGAGGCACAATCAAGATTTTCGCCACAGCCGATTTCTCGCTGCTATATCAGCTATCTTCGCAAGACTTCGTTAATGATCTGGCTTTCAGTTCAGATTCCCGGCGGCTTTACGATATGCGCGGGCCTTATGGCAACGTGTGGGAACCAAACACGTTGATTCGTCTTTCAGACAGCTCTGAAGTCCCAGATCACAACAGTGATGCGACTGGTGAGACGGAAAGTCTTGCCAAGATGTCACTCCTCCCGGAGCACCAGTCAGCCCGAGTCAATAGCCTGAACATTCTCTCATCGCAACCGCAAGGCACTCTCTATTGTTTCGGAACAGACAACGGCCTGGTAGACCTCTGTGAAAACGGCAACGGTACAGTTCTCCGGATGGAAAGGTTGAGTAGCCGAATGTCTGTCACCCACATGGCATGGAGTGATGATGGTCGTCGGATCGCACTGGCTAATCGAGCTCGAAGGCTTTGGATCAAAACTGTTTCCCAAGGCGTCGATGATCGCCAAGCTTGGAAGGCTGATTCGGAGCTCAACGTCATCCTTGCACCTAAGAAAGGCAGGGCCACAGGTTTGTTGTTTCAAACGGCAGGCCAGAAGTTATGCGCGCGCACGCCCTCCATGCTCCTTTCCGTCGATCTCGAGACCCAGCATTGGACCGAGGCTGAACTTCCGAAAAACATGGAGCAGTGCAAATGGATCAATCACCCAACCAAACAAGAGTACCTGCTTGCCTTCGGACCCAGTAAGGTTCAAGTCTTCCAGTGGTCTACCATGCGTGAAGTTGGGGAACAGCGTTATTCGCAACCACATCTTGTTGGGCCATGCATCTCCCCAGTCTCTCCCACAGAAGGCCAGGGTGATGAAGATGAACATTACACAGTGGGAAGACTCCTCGCGCAGGCCGGATCATCACGCATTCTTCTTCAGTTGTTAAGCACCACTGTGTCGAACCGACTTAGGCACAGGTACTTCCTTTTCGATGTAAACGAACTGCGGATAAAATCCCGAGATGAAAACGGCAACAGCGGGGAAGAACCAGTATTTTGTGACTCCTCTTCCTTCGCATGCGTCGCTCTTCCTACACGCATCGCATCTCGGATTAGGGAACCGTTGTCGCTGATGCCGCGTCATAAACTCATATTCCTCGACGTTGAGAGATGGGTCTGCACGTGGCGGCTTCCGCATTTCTCACCTACGTCAACCCCGTTGGAGGCTGCAGATATCCAGAGATACTACTTTTTGCCAGGAGATTGGGCGACAGCCGACGAGGCGCACCGTTGTGTGGTGATGGCGGATGGGACACTGCTTTGTCCAAGAAACGGAGGAGTAGCCGCTGTTCAGTGTGCAGACCTGTAGACCCTCACCCCCCCGCCCCTAACCCCGTTGGGGGTGGCGAGATTCCGGGAACACTACTTTTTGCCCGGGGGTGGGGGGGACCGCGCGGGGGGCCCCCTTGTTGGGGGGGGGGGGGGGGGGCACCGCCTTTTTCCAAAAAACGGGGGGGAAGCCCCCTTCTGGGTGGCAGCCCCTGAGCCCCCCCCCCCCCCCCCCCAAGCGAAGTCGCCTCTCATAGGCTGAATTCCCCTGTCAACACGGCATCTTTACCTTGAGTGGAATGCAATCAATGAGGTCCACCTTTCATGCGAGATGGATTTTGCTGCAAAGAGCTCGTTGCGACAGTTACATCATGGATTCGTTGCTCTGCAAACAAGCTACATTCGTTTCATACCTAATATTTAGTTCAAGACCAGCCAGGTTGTGCTCAAACACCATGTTCAGAGGAATTGTTCTCAAGTTTCTTTTGTTATCCTGCCGCTGGTCATGCTTTTCATTCTATGTCTTGTCTCTTCCATCATATTTCCTAACTGCCGATTCTTGTCTCTTTCGCTCAACCTGAATGCAGGTCAATAGAGGGTGAGATGCGAATACAACATAAAAACAATAGTTGCACACAGATAGAGCTGTTCTAGAACTTTAATCCATAAAATTCGTTGCAAGCCGCGCACTCCTCTTCCTTTAGGATTCATGAAATCTCATGCCCCTACGCCGTGAATCTCCGTCCTGCGGCGTTTGCAAAATAGATCTCGCATTCACATGTCATCAAAGTGAGCTCGTGATTCAACTTTGACTGATCTAGTCAAATGCCTTGCGTATATGTGCTCAAGATACTTTCCCAGTCCTTATCACTCCAGATCTGTTGGTCAGCATTTCCATCAGAGAACATGAAATCCGAGAAACTCAGATCAGTCTCCATTTCCACATTACCGTCAGTCTCCTCAACACTAGATTGCCGCGGTGTTGTCTTTTCCTCTCGTGAGATTCTCTTCACCATTGCCTCAACATCTGAGAGCAAGACATCGTGATCTTTGGCCGCGGGGTTGCCGACGCGAGCCATTTCTCTGAGTAGTGCTCGTGTCCGCGTGTAGAGTGCTACATCGTCTTCGCTGTTGGGGTTAAAATCTTGACCTTCCTCGATGGAGACTCGGGCGAGTGCGAGGATTGCAAGACCGGAGAATAAGTGTAGAGATTCCCAGTATCCGAATTTCGCTGGGCAGACAATCGTTAGCTCCTTCCTTCTAATTCAGGGGCATCACAATGATGCAAATGCTTACCAATCTTATCGTAATTCCAGAGCCCGAGGAGGATCTTGCAATTGTTCCGTGCGGCTTGAAGACACTGTATCTTGACGGCTCTCATCGGGTCATCGGTATCTATTGGTGTGTCGGTCCCGGTGAAACTCGGTGGGTTGTTTGATCGTCGCTTTTGAACGATTGAAGAAAGCTTTTGAAGGTAAAGTGGCCTCAACAGTAAGATGAAGCACTGGATTATTGTTAGAAAAGAAGTCGGCGATTGATCCGGGAAGGAATGGAACGCGAGCTCACCTGGTGATATCGCATGTAGGTGGATGCAAGGATTCTACCGTGAGGTGCTTCCATCAATCTCGTAGGCAGGCTCTCCTCGAAGGTGAAAGCTACTTGCTGCGGCAGACTTGATCTCCACTCCTGCAAAGTGTCGAGACATGGCTTAATAATCTCTAGTCGACGTTCGTCATCAACATCAACGTGTTGAGCCGCCGTTCTTACAACATTCCGCTTGATCTCGCAGAGCTGAGTTTGCATTGTCAGAAGCCCCGGATCAGAAAACTCCTCGAGGTCTTCAGCGTCTAGTCCGGCCGATGACGGGAGTTGCATGCCTTCTGGCACACAAGCCACGGCGGCAGCGACGCCAAGCTCCGTTGATATCATTCTGTCCATGCAGTAGGATGTCCACCAGAGCCTCTTCCTGTGCTCGTTCATAACGCGCACTTTGCGTTGCTGGTCTAGGGCCTTGGGCAGAGGATGTGGCTTGTGAAGATGCAAGAGTTTGGCCAGCGCAACACTTTGGCTGGCGTACGAGTAAGCCGTTTTACGTCGGTTGAGTGAGTAGCAGTAAAACGCCAAGACATGTTGTCAGTGGTTTGGCATTGGTTGATAGGCATAAGTACTCACAATCAAGCAAAGTGCCTCTACATCTTCTGGCACAGGCTCTTCCGCAGACATCTTGAGAAGCATCAACCCTTGTTCGAAGAATTCGGACCCCGGAGGTGGCGGCAGTGTTTGCGACGTTGACTGAGAATCTGGAGGCAAAGTTAAGGGAACAGCAGCTCCTCTTTGCGGTGGACTGGTCGGATGCTTCCCTGCAATTTCCATGTGGACAGCTGAGGACATTCGAGATCGATTCCAGCTCTCAGCGAGGGCCAAGACAACTGAAACCCTGCACAACCAGTTGCGATCGTGAGATTGCGACTGCGGGTCCGAGTAGGTCAAAAGAATCCTTTCCCGGAACCTCTTACGGAGGAACCAGTGATATTCACTGAAGCCTTCATCAAAGGCCTGGAGTAGGTGGAATGCATATGGTCGGGGCGGAAGTCGGAACGAGACTTCAGATTCTGTGCATCGCATAAGCGAACGTCTTGTTGGTTGTTGTGAGCAATCGACTTACGTAGAAAATCGAACTTCAGCCGAGAATATGTGTAGCTCTCGGCATTTGTGCCGGTAGACTCCCTAGTCTGTTTGCTGGTAGGATCACCGGATGCTGCTGTCCACGAAAGTTGTCGGAGCCTCTTCACGAAGAACTCTGCACTACAATCTTCCAGTTCCTCTTCCTTGATAATCTGACTAGATTTGGGCGAGAGCGGTGTCGCAAAGTCGTTTGGATCCGTACGGACCGACTCTGGCGATGAGATCGGATCTCCCGATCTTTGCGCCACTGCTGGCTGTCTCTCGAGTCTCCGCAAATAACTTTGAGGGACCGTGATGTATTTCTCTCTTACGGGGTAAACGCAGGGCCTCCCTCGGGTTTGACATCGCTCGCATGGTGCTCCTTATGGGCATTCCAATTAGCACAAGAAAGAAGTTCGCAACTGATTACAGCAACGTACCGCCATTGCACTTGAGCTTTTGCGTATGACAGGCCTTGCAGGCTACTGCGCTTCGACCTCTTGGCGTTCTAGTCATCATCACAACTAAGTTCACGATGTCTCAATTGGTCTAAAAATCACAACGGCAAAGGGACATTTGTGCTCCATAAGAAACTGGATTCAACTCGAAAAGACTGGTCGGATCGACATGCTCCTTTGCCTGATGTCGTTTGCCGGCGGTATCGGAGGTGGGAAGGTCCAAGACGATGGGCAATACGGGGTAAAGAGGAGGGACCCACGTCGACCACGCGGACTGATATCGACGTGCGGAGGTTTTTACTGATAACGAAAATCCCCCAACCCGTTTTAAGTAGTTGGAAGTACTGCGGTATGTTTGCTGGGTCGTACAGAATGATAGCGGCGGGGCGGCATGCATCGGCCACTGCTAGCTGTCATGTGTAATGGCGCAGAACTGGGATGTGTCAACTGGCGAGTTGCTATTGGTGTTGGCTGCCAGGACCAGGCTCTACTGGATGTTGGTAAGTATTTAAAGCTAGACTACGAATTCTGCGTTGCAAATGGGAATAAGATGGACTGCATCACGTTCAGATACTTTATTTCCGAGAAGACACAAGCAAGTGTCAAGGAGCTCTGCGTGAATAATCCATCCCCAATCTATCAAGTATGCATGTCTCATTAAAAATTGGCATTAAACCAGATATTAGTCTAGAGGCGACTCCATGTCCAGGGGAGTTTGCCATCACCAGCCGCATTCCGGCCTTTCCAGCCTGATAAGTCTGAGATATCGCGGAGCGGCCATGGGTGAGGATCTTGAAAATCATCAGGAACCTTTCCAAATTTCCAAGCCCACAGATCCTGCCATTCCTTACCCAATTTCCCCTCGAGCATGTCGGCGACGTACTTGCCAATGATTGGAAGGAACTTGAATCCGTGATTTGATCCAATCGTCGCGACGAACAAGTTCTGAGTTTCGGGGTAAGGGCAGATTCTGAAGTTGAGATCACCGGCTAGACCGTCCCTGAATTTCGAGTTAGCATGGAGGATTCGGAAGAAATGGAAAAGCCGACAAGATCTCAAGGATGATGTCTCAATACATACCAGCACATTTTGGAAGAGATGAACGGCCGGTCAGCCAGCTCTGGGATTATCTCTCTAACAAACGTACGCATTTCATCTTCGACTTCCTTAGGGCATCCGTCGTCTGGATAATCGCCTAACGAGTGAAGGATAGAAGCCCCTGGAACATATCTGTTGCGATAATTTGTGAGACATCTGCAACTGCATAGCTTGATTAAGCCATTCTCATCTGGTGGAAAGATGATTCCTAGATACCTCGGTTAGTTTGAATGCGCCATGTCACTCTTCCAAGATAAACTGCCTACGTACCCTGCTCGAAGTCATCGATGATGGGCATATCCTTGTACCTTTCGATCTCGTGCGGCTCCAGCTTCATCACACAGATGACTGATGTTTGTGCCACCACTTCTTTCTTCGCATCAACTAGGGTCGCAGTATTGGCACCAGTGGACAATACAACTATGTCCGCCACGTGCAGTGTCCCGTCTGCGGCCAAGACACCCTCGCACTTCCCGTTGCCGTCTAACACGAGCTTCTTAGCATGACCGGATTCTCCACATATGTATTTGACCCCCTGTGACTTGGCGGCGTTTGCCATTCTTAACAGAGCTTGTCCGGACGGCACCTATTTTCCCGATCGTAGTCAGTTTGTCGTCACTTTACTACGTTGTCGTCCTGTAAGTGATATCGTTTGGCAAAATGGAAACTTACCCAGCCAGCCGCAGGACTCCACAGGTTGGTCCAGTCCGGGAACTCCCCCGTCAGAGCGGGCCACCTCGTTTTCATCTCCCCGGCCGTCATGAACCGCACCCCCTCGCGACCCGCCTTCTTGGCTGTCTCCATGGCGCTATTGAGCCAT